GAGACTGTGAGAGTGGTCTTTCTTGGTGAATGGTTGAAGTTGATAAGAACCGATGTCGATATGCGGCCGGCCCGGTTCACGTTTCTCGGTTTCTGATGACGTCGTTGATAAGCGTCGAGACACAAGAAGTGTGTAAACCCGAAATGCTTGTGAGGCAGTCGTTTTTAAAGTGCAAAAAGCGAGGCGAAGTTGGACAGATTGTGGTCAAGAGGTTCCCGTGGGAAGTCTATGTACTCGCGTCAGCAGGACCAACCACAGGGAAGACGGGATCTAGGACCGGAAGTCGAGCATTTGGCGGGGTGAGGGAGGACAACGTGCCCCGGTTTGTGGAGTTGGCCGGCCGAAGTTCGGGTTGGCGAATGGGGGGCATGAGCTACGCCCAATTGCGGGGCGATTGTGACAGCTATCCGAGTCAAGCTTACAAACAAACAGCTTGAAGAATAAGCTTGACGTGTCAAGCTACGCCTTTGGCCTACCGCGCGGCTGCCTGTCGGGTGTACGCCATTGTCCAGGGCACTTGCATGACCTTCGGGCCACGATATACAATGCGACCCTGCACTGCAGATCACCACCAAGACTTGCATTGAACGTAGATTTCGGCTTTGAATAGTATTGTTTTTAAATACCTGTGTCGCGGCCTGTTCCTGGTCATGACGACCCTTATGCTGCAGGGAATGAGCTCTTGGTCATCCCTCAGCGTGGCACAAGGCCTTCCCCGACGCGACGAACATCTATGAGAACACCAAACAAACACCTGCGCGCTCAACAAAGTGACGTGTCGCATAATCGTACAGCTCAGCCTGGTATGTCGGGTCGCATCGGCCATAGCCATGCGCCTCTTGTGGCCGGCAAATCCCTTCCTCTATGTGTCCTCTTTTCCATTTTTCCATGCTCCCTGGCGCACCTTGACTCCTTTCCATGACACCTTTTTGACGTGGTCTTTTTGAGTTCCGGAAGAACGGCGTGACGTGGATTTAAGGTCTAGACAGGATCCACATAAAGAGCAGCTGAACGATGTATGAGTAGAAAAACAGAAACTGTGTCCTCTGGTTTCGCTTGGCCCGGGAATCGCCAGTCTGCATAGGACCGGCGCCATTTGCCGAGTTCTCAGGAAGCAGGACGTATTTCAAAGAGCGCATCTGAAGGTGTTATTAGTCCTCATGTCCATCAGTAGAGAGCTTGGTTTACACACCAGGAACAGGGAGTTGGCCAGGAAGGTGTAAATGAACACCGACCACCCGACCCAGCCGCCGGTACCCTGGCCCCCGTTAAAGATCTCCGCCACAGCAACGGTCACAATAATGCCGACAAACTTGTAGCCAGAGTACGCGATCAGGTCGTAGAGCTGCGAATCGTTCGAAATGCCCAACAGATAGCAACCCAGCTTGAGGCCCAAAATCTCAGCCACCACGATGACAAGGGCCGTTGACGCCGTGTATCCAAGGAGCTCCGGCTGGAACTGTCCACGGAGACCGGCGATGAGGGTGGACAGGAGGATGTATGTCACAACCGCCATGACGGGGATGTACATGTCGGGGCTGTTGATGTCGTCGCGCGGCGGCAGGTACCACCCCTCCTGGCCGCTGGGTCCCACAGACTGCTTGCGCGACCATGGCTTGTGCCTCCAGGGGAAGAGGACGAGGAATAGCTTGTTGATGACATAGGAGTTGGAGACGTTGAAGTAGTGCTTCAGGGCATTTACGTTGACGTATCGGTTAAACTAGTAGCGGTTAGCTCTGGGGTCTGTTGCAACTGTAACGAGGCTTCGCGACGTGTACTCTCGATGCCGAGGGCCGAGAATCAACGTACGTTCTGTTCCATGTACTCCTGACCATGCTTGAAGGCCGTCTGCCCGAATTGTGCTGCAACTTGCGCCGTAGGGTCATTCATGAACTGTCCGTATGCTCCAAAGACGTTTCCGCTTGAGCCGCCCTGCTGCTGGTACGGGCTGCCGTAGCTTTGCTGCGATTGCGTTTGCGACACTGGGGGAGGCGGCGAGCGCAGCTGGGGAACGGTCGAGACATGCTGGGGTACGGGGTGGTGCAGAGGAGGCGACTGGCCGTATGTTTGAGGGCGCTGCATGATGGGCTAGCTGTTGGGCAATCGATGCAATAATCTGCTTGGTGTACGGGCGAAAACTCGTTCGATTTTCGAGGGAGAAGACCGCGGATTCGAGTCGAGCAGTTGCGTTGTCGCGGGCTTGCAAGTGGGATGCCTCCCTTTTGGAAGTCGTCTGTGACGGGGGGCGCAGGCAAGGTTGTGGATGGAGCTGCAGCGGTACCTTATGGAAATGTGTTTACTTCAGCGCATGTCATCGGCGTGGGTTCGTTTGGGAGCTCTGATATTCGCACCGTTCTGATATGGCAATTTCGCGCGTCTGTACAGTGCCAAAAGCCCGTCACGGATTATCCCAACCTCCGATGGCTTATCGATACCTTGAGGGACCATCAATTGCGAAAGTTATCGGCCGATCCGTCTTATCGGTCCCCGTCTGCGCCACAGGCCAACTTTCTGGATCGTCTAGGAAGTTCGCCTCCAACTCAGCTCCCCCTCTCCCTCTACCTGTCGCCAGTCGCCCAATTGCCAGATTACGCCGCGATCTCAGGAACAGAAGTTTGCGAACCATCATGTTGGACACTTTCGAAATCCTGACCACATCAGGTGTGGTCCTTTGGTCAAGGACATATGCGCCGGTCAACCCGTCCGTCATCAACAACTTCATTTCCGATGTCTTCATCGAGGAAAAGGCCGGCGCTGCGTCTAGCCAGTCTGCTGCCAGCAACCCACCGTACAAGCGCGACCAGCACACTCTTCGGTATACCTTTGTCAAGGAACTAGGTGTCATCTTTGTGGTGAGAACTCTTGATATCCCCAGGCGACAAACGACATGCTGACAGAACCGCGCGCGGGCAGGCCGTCTACAGATCTCTACTTCACCTGTCGTGGATTGACAAGCTGGTCGACAACATCAAGACGATTTTCGTGGATCTATACGGCGAACAACTGACGAAGCCTCACACAACACTAGTGGAGTGTAACAAGTTCGACGAGTACTTCGACCAGCAGATGCGCGAGCTGGAAACGACAGGCCCCAAGGGTGACTCCAACATCTCGGACGCCGACTTCGCTAAGGAGGACGAGACACTGTCTGGAAACCTCGGCGATGAGCCTCCACTTCCCTCTGGTCTTCATTACAGGGGTAAGCAACTGGCCTACATACCCCTATTTCCCGCGGGGCAACACAAAGCTAAATACATACTCTAGGACGTGGTATCAACGGCGCAAACGGCGGCGCTTCCACGAACGAATCGACCCCGATTATTACGCCGAACACGTCCCGACCCTCGACTCCTGGCGTCGTGGTCGGCAAGCCTGGCCCTGCCGCGAAAATGTCCCGTCGTGCCCGCAAGGCGCAAAACCCAGGAGTTGTCGCTGCTTCCTCCGGTGACGAATCCTCTGGCAGAAGGCCCCGGCCAGCAACCCGATCTTCGACGAAGAAAGGCCGCAAGTGGGATGCTGATGGTTTGGCGGATGAGGAAGACGATGTCCAGCTTGACTACTCGGCTGCTCCGAGATCGGCAACTAGTGACTCCGAGGCCGAGGGGACCGCCGCGCGCTCCTCCGCTCTTGAGCATGTCGACGCCTCGACATGGGGCAACAAGACTTCCAAGGGCCAGTTCATCCTTAAGGATCTCGACGACGAAGTCCACAACATTCTCGCATCCGCGCAGTCCAAGACGGACTCTTCGACCGAAGCTTCGAGCGGACTTATCGGCACCGGACTCAGCACGATCGGAGGCCTGTTCCGCAATGTTGTGGGAGGCAAGACTCTTACGAAGGCCGACCTCGACAAGGCAATGAAGGGCATGGAGGAGCACCTTCTCAAGAAGAATGTCGCGCGCGAGGCCGCAATCCGCCTGTGTGAGGGCGTCGAAAAGGAACTACTTGGTGTGAAGACAGGCAGCTTCGAGAGCATTAACACCAAGATCCAGTCCGCAATGGAGGCTTCCTTGACCAAGATGCTCACCCCTACTTCTTCTCTCGACCTGCTCCGCGAGATTGATGCTATCACCGCCCCGCCCGCGACCACACTGCGCAAGGCTCGCCCCTACGTCATCTCTATTGTTGGCGTCAACGGTGTTGGAAAGTCCACCAACCTGTCGAAGATTTGTTTCTTCCTCCTCCAGAATAAGTACAAGGTCCTGATTGCCGCTGGAGATACGTTCCGTTCTGGCGCCGTCGAGCAACTGGCAGTCCATGTCCGCAACCTGAAGGAGCTCACTTCTCGTGAGGGAGGCCGCGTTGAGCTGTACCAGAAGGGTTACGGCAAGGACGCCGCCACTGTCGCCCGCGACGCTGTCTCTTTTGCAGGCCAGGAAGGTTTCGATGTCGTCCTCATCGATACCGCTGGACGCAGACACAACGATCAGCGTCTTATGTCTTCTCTGGAGAAGTTTGCCAAATTTGCTCAACCCGATAAGATTCTCATGGTTGGAGAGGTGAGAGCCCTTTGCCACTAAAAATATTTGCAATCGTATAACTGACAATGTGAAAAGGCCCTTGTCGGAACCGACTCGGTAGCGCAAGCACGCAACTTCAACGCCGCCTTTGGCGCCGTTCGCTCTCTCGATGGATTCATCATCTCAAAGTGCGATACCGTGGGCAACATGGTTGGCACTCTGGTCAGTCTCGTTCACGCAACTAACGTCCCTGTCCTATTTGTCGGCGTTGGTCAGCACTACTCCGACTTGAGGAATTTCTCTGTGAAATGGGCTGTCGAGAAGCTCCTCAGCAGCTCTTGATTCGATAAGTGGTAATGGGATATAATTTTATACGTCTTTCTAATACGAATTCAATGAGATCAACACGGTTTCCTCTGGAGACCTAATGATACCCCGAACAACTGAGCCCTTGCGTCTTGCGATTTATGCAATTGTGAAATCCCGCAGTGAGGTCACCAAAAATACATGCGCTAACTCTAAACTTAACCCCAGTTGTCATCAGTTATATTCGCAAACCAACGTCCCGATCGTCTCGTGAGGCCGCAGAGATCTTTCGCCGTACAGATGTGGATAACGAAGACAAACACCGGACATGATAGCTGACCCGTCCAATGCACCATTGACTCGCCACACGGGGTTTGACGGTTCAAGGCCGTCGCGATATTCACAAAAGTCTTGGGGATTTTCCCTCGGCACAGCGTAATATCTGCACCCTTGGCCCTCGAAGACGAATTGCTCTTCGAAATCCGACTCCCAAAGTGCGGCTCGCTTCTCCGGGTCAAAAACACCAGCCTTCAAGCGTAACCTGTAGTCCACCACCCACAGGTACTGGAACCACCTTATTTGGCTCCAGATGGCCTGGGAGAGTGCCTGATACGCCCAGTATCTCACGTTCGTAATTTCGGCGTTGTTCCTGTACTGTGTAACTCCTTCCACACTCCACTGTGGATCGAACTCGACCGCAACGTGAGTGACCCCGTCGTATCCAAATACCGGGGAGGCGAAGGGCGCATTCCGCAGAGTGTAGGAAATACTTCCTACGTCCTCGAAACGTCGGAGCACAAAGAGGTCGCGCAACGGGAGAACCGTCAGGTGCACAGGGCTGCTGTCACCATTTGCCGCAGAGAATGTCACAGGCAAGTCCTTGGCGTCTTCTCTCTGTGAGAGCCAGCTATAAAAGCCTCCAAGGGGGCTGATTCTCTGAATCAAGTCCCGTCCGGGCCGGTCGTATCCCCTGTAGATAGCTTTGTAGGAGTCTCTACAGGCGGTCCAGAGACCAAAATCGGTTGCGTATGTCGACGAGTTGCCAACAGTCCACGACGGCAGCGATCTGTTGTCTTGCGATGTCGGTGCGCCAAGTATAGGGGCGAACTCGCCGCGATACGAATCGTAACCCGTCTGCTGGACGACGAGATGTTTCCTGAACTTTTCGTCGGCATGTGTGGGGTTGAAGACGGTGAAGAAGTGAACGCCGCCGTGGCCTGGGTTGATGGGGCGGACGGCGTCGCTCCAGATCTGGTCTCGAAGCTCCTGGGGGAGTTTGGGGAATAGAGGGAATGATTGTGTCGACATGTCTATGTACGCCGAGTGAAACTCGTATGTGTTGCTACTCTCAGCAGGGTCAAGCACGGGATATGGATATGCAAACATGAAATAAGAAAGAGAGAAATTACTTTGAGAAATCTCAGAGTATATTTGGAACACAAAGGTGTGTACAAACTTTTGGAGGACTTGAGCCGTAAAGGTGTCCAGCGTGGAAAAAAGTGCCCCCGAGCTAACAGGCCTTCGTGATACACGATGAGATGTTTTGCATCGTCTCTTTTTTTTGTTTTCTCTTCGAGTCTTTCTTATAGTCAATTGTACAGGAAGTTTACCTCCGCAGACAGCGGAGCCACGGATAGTTTTCTCCGTACAAGATAGCTGGTGAGCAACAATGTCTTAATTTGATAGTGTCAAAATTCCCCGAACAGCTCTCGGGTGTCATCTATCTTAATTCCTTAGTACCATACTGCGTAGTGACACCATCTTTCATTAGATGTATGGATGGATGTGAGACGTCGAAGAAGCTCGTGGGGTTCGGAGCGCTACTGCAGGTATCCCGGACCGCGACCAGACCGCTGACCCACAGTCGCTTGGCGCCGAATCACCCAGCGCCGAAGCCGAGCAACGGCCCGGACCGGAGTGGAGCAACCGCGTCTCTTGAAAACCGAGCACGGATGAACAGAAGCTAATACAAGATGCTTTGTGTAGGTTGCTTAAAAGTGTTCATCACACGCGTGGTATGTACGAGGAATTTTGGCGAGGGTTTGCGCCTTTGACGAGGCCCCTTTCTGCCAGTATATTGATCGGCACTTGGCTACCGTGCATAAGGTAGTCAGTACAGAAGCTCAAACAAGTGAACGGTTCATAAGTAAGTTATGTAATCTCGTATGGATGGTGGGGCCGAACCGTTATGCCTGGCCACCCTCCCGTATCGAATCGCTCTGGCACTCTCCAAGACGACAAATTTAGGACGGCAAGACCACTAGTTTGGAAATGACTTTCGCGGGTCCTCGGCCAATCCGTGAGGCCAACGCTCGCCGCCGGCCGCCCTCTCGGGCTCCGTGAGTTACGGACAGCTTGGTGCCAACACCCAATGACGCGGGAGCAGGGCTCTGGCATGACAGAACAGGGCAAGCTGCGATTTGGGGTCCAAACGCAAGCCCTGCCTCCTCTGCTGTGGAGGTTCGGTTGTCTTGGTCTCCCTTCGATTCTAGGCATCGAGTGTGACGCTCCACGTCGCGATGCAGCGGGATGGACATCACAGCAGACTCCGCCCCCAAAACAGCGCTGCCTTGTCACTGTGCATGCAGGACACAAACAGTAAACATTTCAGGTCGCTGGCCAATGATGCCTCGTGCAGCGACAGGGCATTCTCGGTGGCACACTCGTCTGACAACAGCAGCATCAGCTCCCAATGGCAGAAATATGCGACCGCACGCGTTGATGAAGCAGGCGAAATTCCTTACACAAATTCAGGGGACTCGACTCTGCCGTGTTTGCACAGGAAAGTCAATAACAGCAAACCAGGCTCCAGGCTCCAGCATAAGGAAAACATGGAGAACGAAACAGAACTTATGGATTCAGGGGAGAAATGGGGTGGTTCCGTCATGGCCCGCCCAAAATTGCTTGCCTTGGACTGCCCTATGTGCGTTACCGAGAGTCACGGTCTCACTGGAGAGGTAGGGAGCGCGACGCTAAACAGCAGCGCTGGGATCACTGGGACCACTGGCAGGGCAGAGGGGACCACCCTCGGCAGGGATCCAGACCATCGGGGCAGTGCTGGCTGGATCCCATTGGCCACTGGCTACACCACCGGACGAGGCTGTCCCCCCTCCCCATGTCTTCAGCTGTTGCTGACATGCATAACCACGCTTCCACTCTCCCCGTTCAAATTGCTCCCGCTGTTCCTCCACCATGCCTTACCTCACTTTGCCTTTACTTTCAATCCTCGAACTTCTCTTACCTAGAAACTGCAGTTCTATCTCAGCTTCAGCTTATTCCTGCGTCTTTACCTCCTCCTAATGGGCTCCCGTTAATTCTCCAATGGCTTGACCTCCCTACTCACGACTGCGAAGCCACAACCTCTGCCTCTAGCACCAGAGAAGGCTGCCGAGCAGGACCCTAAAAACGCCCCTCCTTCGCCAATTGACACGCGAATAACCCGATCCTTCGAAACGCAAAAACACCAGAGAAAGACCACAAAGAGAGGGGTGTGCTGTATAGCCGCCGAAGCTAGTTCATCATGTGTCTCTACGTACGTCTGCCACTCCGTCTGATGTTCCGCGCCCTGTTTCGAGGCTCCCGCCCAGACCCTGCCTTCAATCGCACCCTTTCCCAGTGGCTTCGGACTTTGCCAACCTACACTTCTTCAATGCACGAAGTGCAAATTCCAACTGACGCCTCTTGCAGCTCCGACGCCGAAAGGCTCCTGGTGACGAAAGGGCGCCCAAGAAGCGCACCTTCACGATGCCCCTCTTCAACAACACCAACAAGGCCTCAGAAGGCGCCCTTAGGAAGATGGTCGGCTTCACAACTTTGCTTGCACCTACCGACAAGGGCTCCCACTTCCGAATGACGCCGCAAACACCCCGAATCAACATTACCAATGTCGACGGTGCTACCGAGCCCTCATTCTCCTCCGTCGACCCCAAAGACCTCCACACCACTTCCTCGGACCCTCCCGCGTTCGACGGCAGTCTTGCCATCCAGAACCGCCTCAAGAAGGTCTTCGACGACATCCGATCCCGCCGCTCCTCGATATCACGCTCGCCGTTCGTCACTCGCGAGCAATTTGTCGCATTCCTAGATTCTGTGCAAGGCGAAACCGATGCCGACGATGTCCTGCCCGAAGATAAGGAGAGATACACATGGCCCGAGTTCTTCGAGTTTTGGTGGAAGAAGTACGGCCTGGAAGCCACCCGACCGTTGAATCCAGAAGACAAAGACATCAGTCGACCGCTATCGAACTATTTCATCAGCAGTAGCCACAATACTTACCTGGTCGGAAACCAATTAGCTTCCACGAGCGATCCGGAGGCTTACAAAACAGTATGTACTGGTTGGCATTGATGCAAAAGTTGACCATGCTCACATTTAATTCCAGGTCCTCCGCAAAGGTTGCCGATGTATCGAGATTGATGTTTGGAATGGAGACACTCCGATCACGACGGGCCAGGAGCGAAGCCGGTCGCCCAAGCCTGAGCATTCCCGGAACCTTTCTGGCTCGTCGTTCCCCAATGTTGCGGCTAGTCTGAAGGAGCATGTCGAAGAGCTGATTGGCAGCGAGCGAAGCATACACGAGCATAGTCACAGGAGGAATGCCAGTGCAGCCAGTGCAGCCACTGCCCCCAGGTCCTTGGGACCATCCGACAGCACCACTGTTCTTGGCCCAAGTGCCTCGGTCGAATCTCTGAATGAAACTCTGCGGCCTACATCACCCACTCCAAGCAAATATCGCCCACCGTACCCGAAAGATGAACCCATCGTCACCCATGGTTGGACCTTGACAACTCCTTGTGGGTTCCGGGAAGTCTGCCAGGCTGTCCGCGAGTCTGCATTTGAGACCAATGAACTGCCACTGATTATTAGTCTCGAGGTTCACGCGGATATTGAGCAACAGAATGTCATGGTCAAGATCATGAAGGAAGAGTGGGGTGAGATGCTGGTAGACAAGTCGTGCGAAGGTATCGACCCACGCTTCCGTCTTCCTAAACTTGAGGAGATGAAGAGAAAGATCATGATCAAGGTCAAGAAAGCACCTCACAAGATCGAGGTGCCTCCCAGCACCACGGCTTTATCAATGGTCCACGCCAATGATGAGGATGCCTCAAGCTCCGAAGACGAACGGACCATCGCACCGGCGGCAGCCCCGGTCCAACATAACCCCAAATCCGACATCGCCACGGCACTGAGCAACCTGGCGATCTACACGCATAGTGAGCACTTTAAAAGTTTTGAGACGCCTGCCGCTAAGAAGCCTGGACACATCTTCTCGATAAGTGAGAGCAAGATTCTCGAGCTTCACACGACCAAAGCCCGTGAGATGTTTGCTCACAACAAGAACTTCTTCATGCGAGCCTTCCCCAACGGCACCCGCGTTGACAGCTCAAACCCCGACCCCAGCCCATTCTGGCGGAAGGGTGTGCAGATGGTCGCGCTCAACTGGCAGTACCTGGACGAAGGCATGATGCTGAATGAGGGCATGTTCGCAGACGAGCTGGGCTGGGTTCTCAAGCCCGTCGGATACCGCAGCACTGACAAGAACACTGAGAGTGAGGTCGATGCCGCGCCGCAGGGTGACCTAGATCTCGTCGTTACAATCATTGCGGGTCAGCATATCTGGGTGCCTAGCTCATCGGACAGCGACAGTAGCCGCAACGGCAAGAACCTACGCCCTTTTGTCAAGTGCGAACTCCACGTCGAGATTGGGGCAGTCAATGGAAAAGCAGCCGATGAAGACGACTTCAAACTCAAGACCAGTTCGAAGAAGACGGACCATCCTGAGTGGGAAGGTGGAGCGCGATTGAAGTTCCCGAAGGTCTCGAGAGTCGTGCAGGAGCTCAGTTTCGTCAGGTAAGATCTTCTTTCTTTAGTCACTTTCACTTTCCCTTCACCGCCACGTCGTTGTCACACCTACTCTTGACGATACGCGACCCGACGAGAGTCTCTGTCGCGCGGCTCCGCGCCTATCCTTCCGCACCTGCAGCGTGTCCGACCGTCAGGTGGTGTGCTCTTGCGGATGGTGTACCCTCTGAGATACGATGAACACAGACCTGATGGTCTGATCCATCCTCGGACGAGATGCAGTGGCCCGTCGCGCTCGCGTCATAAGCACACAAAGGTGGAAGATGCCGTGCGACCGCAGTTGCCGAGACTCTTTTCCTGCGTCGTGTCACCGCGACTGTCAAGCTCCCGTCGCGAGCCGCCAGCCGCCAATACTCGCTCGCCAAGGAAGCGTCAAGCAGCTGTGGCGGCCCGTGTTGACAGGTCGGGCCGCTGCACACCGCACCGTTGACGGCATGACACATATT